GCAATCTGCTGGGAGTGGTTTGAGGAGTCCCATGCAACATAATGCATCTGTTTAATGCTGTTCACTAGCTGTGAAAACTGAACCCTCATTTTTAGGGTCATCCAGATGTCCCATGAGTATTGAACCAGGGGAAGTTTAGGTTAGATGTTAAGCAGAAGCTCTTCCCTGTGAGGGTGCTGAGGCGCTGGCACAGGGTGCCCAGAGAAGCTGTGGCTGCCCCATCCCTGGCAGTGTTCAAGGCCAGGTTGGACACGGGCTTGGAGCAACCGGCTCTAGTGGAAGGTCTTACTTTGAAACTGACAGTACCATATGTGTAGACAGCATGTTTTTGCTGTCATTTGAGTAACGATGCTCTTACCCTAAAACACTTCTTAAGGCATTAGGACCCACATCCGTGTGGTTGCCTCCTCATTACTACCAGCAAGCACTGCAGATGGTGCTTTTATCGCAGTGGATCTTGTTCCCAGTGGGTCTTTTGTAGGTCGTAGATAGCTTTGGAAACGTGACCAACAAATCAGAAATGATGCTATTTGTTTATAATAAAAATAACCAGATAACTAAATAGGCCTTTTTAAAATGAGTGTCTGTACCAGTAGTCAACTGCACTGACAAATTTCTTGCTGTATTCCCTTAACTAGTTTCCCTCTTCAAATAAATAAATCTCCCTGTCATGTAGTAGACTGAGAGTGGCTCATGGAAGGCCTCGATAGACATGAGACAGTGCGAGGGAAATACCAGATGTGAAGCAGAAGTCCATCTCCTCCCTTCCTCTTCTCCCATTTCAAAATGAGTGACTGACTTCGTACTTGTGTAGGAGCTCTTTCCCCTCTGAGGAGGGAAGTTTTTTATTTAAACTTTTTAGGAGTAGGTCTTTAAAGAAGTCTTGAATTGATTTGGAAAACTTCTATGAAAAAAGTATAGTTCTACATAGTGCAGATTTGTGAAAAGGATCTCAAGGATTCAAAGTATCTTAGAATCAACCAGGTGGGAAAAGACCTTTAAGCTCATCCAGTCCAACCCTTCCCCAGCAGTGCCAAGGCCACCACTAACCCCTGGCACTGAGGCCTCGGCTACACCGGATGTGAAAACTTGCAGCGGACCTGACTCCCC